AGATGACAGCCCCTTTTATCACCCTTATCATCAATTATTACCGCCAACTAGACTGGGGCGCAGGCTGTTCTTTCAGATAGCCGCGACTCCGCCTTCTTTATTTCCTGTCTTGATTTAGAAAGCTCTTAGGGAATTACCTTGATGATTTAATTTTTTTAGTTACAGCCTACTTACACCAATCATTACAAGAAACAAGTTTTTAGTGATTCGTTATAGGAAGTAACAAATTTAATTAAAAATACTAATGAACTTTGTAATCTAATACTTTCAGAAAATTTCAAACGAAGGCAATTTTCTCGAACAGTCTAATCCGTTAATCTCATTGCAGTGTTTCATAATTTTTCTGTAAATGTTTCTATTAGAATACAAGCCGACACGTTTGGAAAAATCTAATTGAAAATGTAAATTAGCAAACTTATTTAAAATTAGCTTTATTAATTAAAGCAAGTCGTCTTGCGCTTTTAATCAATATTATCTTAATTAATTTGGGGCGCCGACCGCTATTTCAAGTGATTGTATAAACAAGCCAAATAAAGATGCCGTTAAAAGCTAATTAATCGATCATGCAATTATGCGAACCCTTTTTTGTGAACCATAATTGAAGAAATACGCTTTCCCTCGTTTTGTTTTGTCGTCTTGAATTAATGTTGTGGCGAATTGCTAGAGAAAAAGCGTCATTAGACGTGGAATTTATGTGCATGCTGCCTTGTCAGCGTGAAATTAACGAGAAAATTCAATAAAATGCAAAGAATCAATAATCTAAAGAAACACTTTGATGTCAAAGATAATAAACAGGGAACAGTAAAATGGGGTGCAATATGCTCATGGCGGGTGCATCACTCCACAAATAGAATATCTAATCAATCGGTTTATTTTACTAATTATCTTTTGTTGTCTTAGCAAACATTGGCTGATTACATCGATTACAAAGTAGAATTGGCTTCCAGGAACACTACTATTTGATTATTTGTTTTACCAAATTATAAAATAAAGTCAAATATAAATTTTGTGATCATAGACCTTATAGACTGGAATATATTGTGTGAGGAAATCGTCTCATTTATTATAGATCAATCCTCCTTAATTTCCGCGTATTAATTAACTGAAATGAAAGTTATTTAATACAGGGTTTAGCAAGGAGAGCTTTGCCACCCGAAACTAAATTATGAAATTTTGATAGACCTTGTTAGTACGGTTGAAATTCTATTCTGAAAGCTTAATAAATATAACATTTGAAAGGAAGTGACCTACAAAGAAAGTTTCCCGCTTGGGAAATACGTGAACATAAAAAGCCCGAAAACCGCTAATTGAACTTTGGAAATCATTCCAGAGCTTAAATGAAAATTAATAACCTGAGCTTTCTCTTGTAATTATAATATCAGACGAATTGTGCCCATCGGAGACAAATTGCGTAAATATATAATCGTTGAACTGTAGCAAGCGGAACCACTTTGTATGAGGTGGTTGGGACACTAAAGCTCTGATTTTATCTCATGTAATGAAGAATGATGGATTCCTTTCTATTTCGCCTTTAAAGTAGCTGCAGTCACAGCAATGAAGCCTGTCAACGGGCCTAATCAAGATAGATTGATCGCGAGGCTTCACATTACATCATAACATTGAACTAATGTTCACCTTGACATGTAAGTGCAGACGCCAAGGAAAAGCAGATCTCCTGAGATTGGAGTAATCAGAATAAAACGTAGAGTTTTTCGCCGTGGAAGCCATCACACTTGTGTATTCGAGATTTCATTTAGGAAAGCTGCTTGATGGCTCTTTAGACATGAGACGGTGATGGCGAGTTAAACGAGGCGAAGGAATGATAACGTATTTGAAGTTACACACTTTTTGACAGGTTATAAATGAAGGCATTTAAGGCGCTCAAACGATCGATTATAATTACTGTAATACGCTTTGTTTTGTAGTGAAAAAAGCTTACATTACAAACATAAAAGATTACCAAAAAATTTAAAAACATTTTTAACATTTAAAAAATATCGCATTTATTATTTGTATTTTTTTAGTTTTATGCCGTCTATGTTTTCAGGAATTTTATTAAACAGCAATAAAGCAATAAGCGCCAAATTGTTCCATAATTTGGGGTTAGTTTTTGTTGTCAAAAAATTTCCATTTATTAATTTTAGCTAATGAGTCAAAAAATTTCCGGAAATTTTTTGTGTTGTTATGGTAATCATACTAAATACCTACTAAATTCAGATTAATTCTTCTATAGGGTCATGCAATTTTCGAATAAACTGTTTATTTACTATCTTGAATTGAAAGGTTTTGCATAGTTTGAAAGTTCATTTGTTAAAAGAGTTACAATTTAGCAAAGAGTAATTAAAATGAATTTTGTACAAATCGTCTTAAATTAAAAAGAAAGACATTTATGAAGCAACTGCTTAGCTTCAAGTCTCATCCAATTGAAGAAATGAAAAGCATTTTGAGCAATTCTTTAGGTCTTATGTCTGCTTAAATTTTTTTTCAATTAAAGTTTTTTTTGTCTCATAAATAAATCATTTTTGGATTTATCTTTATGTTTATGTACCACACTTACAGTATCAATTATGAGATTTGGAACTAAGCAATTGTTTTATAAATGTGATCGTTTTTAATTTATTCCGACCCTCTTGTTTAAACTTTGTTACACGTTGCTAAACCATAACTCTTTAACAAATAAACAAAATAGAATGTTTAAACTTTTTTTTTCAGAATAACATTTTCTATTATTGGTTGACTTATGGCGCTTTGCTTTTGGAACATTCTATACCACCTTCCAGGTGAATAAAAAGTATGGAATCAGACGTTTTTTCCTAAACTATTTATTTTTTGGAAAAACTAATTGATGAATTATAAAGTAAGTACTATAAAAATATGATGTTTTAGGAAAAATTTTTTTTTTCGAAATTTGTTTTTGTTTTTGAGCTCTACAAAATTTTTTGTTTTTATAAAAGGCTACCAACTAAAAAAACATTTTTCTCATGAATGGTATGATCTAAAGATTACAACTATATACTTTATATTAATTTAAAAAAAATACATAAATAGCAATTTTGACAAAAAAAATCGCATAACTCAAAAACAAAACAAAATTTTGTTTTTAAAATACGATCACATTTTTTATATTACTTTAATTTATACCTATTAATTATTGTTTTCTGGAGGCAAATAAATTAAAAAAAAATTTGTTTGGTTCCATTCCTTATATTCACCCTGTATATCAATATTATAATTAGACTAAATTACACATTTGCTAGTCGTATTTACAAAAAAAAAAAAACGATTTTTTTGTTTTAGAATTTCAGATTGTATAAATTCTTAAAAAATCGTAAAAATCAGTCTCGTGTATTACCAATAGATAAAAAAATTCAATCACTTTTTTAGTGTTTATTTTTACAGCCTTAAAATAGAAATGTTTACGTATATTGTATGTAATAAAATTTGTATTCATTTTTATTTTATTTCTTAAACGCTTTGAATGAAACAATAAGACATTTGTTTGTCATATCTTTCCTAAAGCCGAAATTGTTTTTGAATTGTTTTGGAAATTATATGATATGTTTTGTACTTATTGTAAACAAAGTAAGAAAATTAGTTCTCAAATATAAGATGTGCCATTTGTGATAAAAAAAACAGTCTTTAAGTTTACAAACAGTATGGTTTTAATATGTTTACGATTTTCGCCCTGTTAGAAATCTTGTTACGGTAACATCGCTCTGGTGTTATCTTTGGACTTTTCCAATATTTCCGTATGCCAAAACACATTCGTATATCTCTATTTGTATTTATTCCTTACATAAATATTGACAGAATGTAAATGTAGGAGTCAAGAAGTGAACATTTTCATCCCACCATCTTCAACAGAACATATCAACCTGTTACATAAGATAATTCTAGTCAACAAGCTTATAAGTAAACAATCTTGCTTTGCTTAAATATTTCAAAAACAGGTTACATATTATATGGGCCAGCGTAATAACTTTATAAATAAACAACGACCCGTCTGAAAACTGTGAACACTGTTTTGTGATTCATTGTAACTTGTCTCGCTAAAGCTAAAATTTGTTTGTATAAAAGTGGGGTAATTTATCAAAATTTATACGAATATAAGCGATATAGAGAGACGGCGTTTTTGTTTTTGTTGCGCAGACATTTGGAAATGTCATATTTTAAACTCGACTATATATCGAATTTATGTCTTTATAAGGTTACAAGAGCATTGGGAATATTTAACATTTTCGTTTCGACGATGAATAAATTTTCCACGTACATCGATTGACATCGTTTGCGTTCAACAAAATGTTTAAATGTCGCATGGCGGCCCTAACGCCGTTATGAGCAAATAAAAGTTTTTCATATGAGTCGCAAGTTTGATCGAAAATCTGAAGAGTAATACAAATAGAATTTTTTTAAACTACGTTTAAGCTTTATCAATAACCAGAAGTTTTTGTCAGTCTACTGAAAGCATTTTTGCTTTTATTTAATTTAATTTAAATGCAGGTTAGAGTCCTTCCGTTGCGTAAGTTTGATGAACAAGGACGTGGTTTGCTGCGATAGCGAATACAATTCGGAGATAAAATAAACCGAATATTTAAAAACATTTAATTCTTTAATTGTGTAAAAGACTTAGTCACACTGATGGTTGAATGAAACTGAAAAACAAATAACTCAGTGTGAAGTCCATTACGAGAAATTGTGCTGAAATATGCATGTACATGTTAGGTCGCTTCAAATGCATCAATATTGAATTAGCTTGAATCCCACGTTTAGGTCCAAGTGTTGCATATTTAATAAAACCTTTTACTGTTAGACATGCAAAATCACGCACAAAATACACAAACATTATTTTTTTATATGATTATTATATTCATTTATAACACGGATAAAATGTTATCGCGACACATTTTACGAACGTCAGACCAATCGCAAACACGAGAAAATGAACCCCTAACAAATTATAAATGCTTCTGATTTTTTTACAACCGGTATTTAATTAAGGGCATATTTCAACAGTATTTTTTCGAGATAAGCGAGCTTTTAAAGAAAGCGGAACAGAAATGGCAGCTTTTATTTTGAAAATGTGGAACAAAAAATTGATAACGTTTTAGTGAGAATAATAAATTTGTAACAAAATTAAAATTAAAACAACACAAAGTGAAAAAACGAATAATTTTCGCAATGACATTAAAATTTTAACACTCGTTTAACGCAATCATTGAATAATGGAAGCGTAAAATAAACGATCAAACTTTTACAAAGCTTGTTGCCCGCTGGCGCTACAGAAAAAATAAAATTTTTATGATTTAAGCTTTGTTAAAGCTCAATAAAATTTACAATAGGAGCTTAATTACATTAATTGCTTTTCTAATATTTTGTTATGTGAAAACTTGTAGGTAATTACTAATCAATACAAATTATCGCACAATATTGGATTTTATATTTATCTTATTTGTGTCAACTGTTATCTCTGCTGACACACCTCATAATTAATTTCATTGATTTTTTTCCACTAAACCTTGTAAAAATGTCTCCACGAATTCGTGATATTCCTATAACCAAGTTAAATAATGGAGTAGAAATTCCGGTTTTTGGATTAGCAATACCGAAGGTGAGTCAAAACTAATAAAGAATCAATACACAATTAGTAATTTATTTATTTTTTGCCAATAATTGATAATTTTCAAATTACTTGAACATTACTTTGTAGAATATCACATATAAATCTAATTCATAGATAACAGCTACTATATTCAAGGTTGATTACTTATTTTCTCTAGATATTATCTATAGAAAAGTATACCTACTTAAAATAAAAATTATATAGCAGTAGGAACAGTAGCTAGACGTAATGTTATGCAATAAATTATAAAAAAAATCAAAAAGTATTTTTAATAACAATTTTTAGAGTTTCGGGGACAACAATGAAGTGAGAGAAGTATTAGTCAGTGCAATAAGTTTAGGCTACCGTCTAATAGACTGCGCTATTTTTGAAAACGAAGAAAAGATTGGCGTCGCTCTTCAGCAACTGATTAAAGAAGGGAAAACTAAACGCGAAGATCTATTTATTATTGGGAAATTATACTGCAGTAACCCTCGTTCAAATTTAATCAAACCTGCGCTTATAACTACTTTAGAAAAATTGCAAACTACATATTTAGATTTGTACTTAATTCACCAGCCTGCAGCTTTCAATGACAAAAACCTCATCGCTGTCGATTTTGTCAATACGTGGAAAGCCATGGAAGAGCTTTACAGAGAGAAACTCACCAGAGCAATCGGTCTTTCAAATTTTAACAGTAAACAGATCGAATGCATTTTGAAAAATAGTGCAGTTTGTCCGCAAGTTAATCAAGTAAGTGGTTGTAGATTAAACGGTTTGGACTTATTGATTTTTTAAGATTGAATGTCACCCTTACTTAAATCAAGCTAGACTAAGAAAGTATTGTTCGAACAATGGAATTACTGTAATAAGTTACAGTCATTTAGATAGCTCGAGAAATAGTATTCGACCTGAAAATCCCAATGTTTTCGATGACAGCAGAATTAAAAAAAATGCTAGAAGATATAACAAAACTCCAATAGAAATTGTGTTGAGATATAATTTACAGTTAGAAAATGTTGTGATATCAGAGAGTTTAATCGAGAATGTAAATTTCTTTGATTTTTACATAGCACCTGAAGATATGAGTTATATTGCGACATTCGACTGTGAAGAGTATAATAGGTAAATGCGTTATGTTCTGCTGTTAGATTTTAGTTTGTTTTGTTATTGATATTTTAACATACAATTATATGTGGACATAAAAAGTAGACAGCATTTAATTAACTTGATTAATTGAAGTTTACTTTCAATATTGGTAAATTTAGTACTTGTATAATTGGTTAATTATTTTGCAGCTAAATGTTACTTAACGCTATTATAATTTAAACGCTAAATATTTGTTTTATTTGCGAGAAATAAATAAAAAATGCTTTTTGTTTTGTTTTAATAAAAATCCAATAATTAAAACATGAAACTTAAAAAAAACATACTCGTAGGTGACTGCATAAATATCTGCATGAAATCCAATATTCTGTGGCATGAGTAAACACGCTCAATATTTCAATATTTGACCGCTGATTTTAATTTTTGTGAAACATTGTTGAAGTTAAAATTAAAATTTTGTAAATCACTTTTGCTTTAAAAGCTGTAGCAAAGAAGTGATTTTCCTATTTATCAATTTCAAAATAGTAGAAAATGAAGTATGTGCCCTGACTACAGTTTTTATATCAACATTTCAAATATTCCATCACAACATCAGTTGTGACCAGATTACTGTTATCTCAAATACTCAGACAATTTCCCAAGTATAAATACCTAACCAAACACATGCAACACATCAGTTAAGGTACACTATCTTGTTTACCGTAATCATGCCGAGGATTCCTCTAATTAAACTGAATAACGGTCTCTCCATACCAGCTTTAGGCTTGGGTACATGGCAGGTAGAAGTATTGTTTTATTTATTAGCATTTTTTAAAACAGTGTTTAGGGTCCTCCCGGTAAAGAAGCAGAAGTGGGTCAAGCTGTTAGAGATGCTATTGATGTGGGCTACCGACACTTTGACTGTGCTCATGTTTACGCCAATGAAAAAATAATCGGGGATGCTATACAGGACAAGATTAAAGAAGGAGTGGTGAAGAGGGAGGAATTGTTTATTGTTAGTAAGTTATGGAATACGTTTCACAGACCGGATTTGGTCGAGCCGGCTTTGAGAGAAACGTTGAATAATCTTCAACTGGACTATCTTGATCTCTATCTTGTGCACTGGCCACATGCATTCAAGGTTTGTGCCAAATTTTGTTCTTTTAAATTTTACTTGTGCCAGTCAGAAAATATATTTCCATAAAATATGCCAAAAATTTATACTTAATCTACTTTGGATGGATAATAACATTTTTAATTGTAGGAAGGCTCCAATTTGCACCCTGTAGACCCAAAAACCGGTCTCTTCATTCCAAGCGATGTGGACTTTGTCGACACATGGAAAGCGATGGAGGAAGTAAACAAAAAAGGTCTCAGTAAGTCAATCGGCATTTCCAACTTTAACAGTAAACAAATCAAAAGACTTTTAAAATCGGCTAAGATCGTTCCCGTTACAAATCAGGTACTCTCATCTCTTTAAACCCTCTCTCGCCTAATATCAATATTTTCAGATTGAATGTCACCCTTATTTGAACCAAAGCAAGTTGCGTAAATTTTGCTCAAATAGGGGCATTACTGTAACTTCGTATAGTCCTTTGGGATCCCCATCGAGACCGTGGCAAAAACCCGGCGATCCCGATGTCATTAACGACCCTAAAATCAAGGAAATCGGAAATAAGTACGGAAAATCACCCGCACAAATTCTACTCCGATATAATGTGCAGTTGGGAAATATTGTTATACCGAAAAGCTCCAACAGAAATCGGCTTGTGGAAAATATGAGTATTTTTGATTTTAAGCTGAGTGAGGAGGATATGAAATATATTGATACTTTCGACTGTAACGGCAGGATTTGTCCACAAGCTGAGTGAGTCCTGAACTCGTTTAACCAACTAAATTTGCTAATTGCGTTTTCTTCTTCAGGGCGAGAGAGCACCCTTTCTATCCCTTTAAACCCGGAGTGGAATTTTAATGTTTAGTTTTGTGATTATGTGATTCTATTACTTATTGCATAATGTTGATAACAAAAATCAATATAAATATTTATAGAAACTGATATAGAAACCGATAGATTTTTTATCTTCAAAATATTTCCGTTACGTGACTTGCACAATTGTTGAGAATTATGAAGTACCAAATAACAGCACTGTTTTTAAATCTTGAAGCGTTTTATTTATGAGAAAGTTATGTTAAGAATGCAAATCTGGAAATAAAGAGTCGTTCTAGATTAAATGTTTAAGAATATTTGAGTAACGACTTGAATAATTTAGTTTTTGTATGTCTCAAATGCCTGAAAGTAAAAACTATTAGTCTTTTGCATCTGGAACAAACAGGTTCTCTCAGGAAATGTGAATAATGCAGTGGCAAAATGATGGTGCTTGCAAGCAGTTTAGCACTCTTCACGCATACTCGGTGTGATAATTTTTTTAATTTTATCTCAGCTTACACTTGTAATTGATCTTATTTTAATTTTCCAATAAATAATATCTACTTATCACTGTTAATTTTAAGGAGCAATAAAAATAATGTTGCGTGCTGTTATGTTTTCATTTAACGTCGATTTTGCAAAGCAACATCATGGCAAACGTCCCTTTAATTAAGCTAAACAATGGTGTAACAATTCCAGTTTTAGGATTGGGAACTTTCCAGGTTGGTAGCTTTAATTATCGGTTGTGCGATTCTAATTGGTTAATTAGGGTCCCCCAGGTCGTGAAGATGAGGCCGGGCAAGCCGTTAAAGACGCCATCGACGTCGGTTACCGCCATTTCGACTGCGCTCATCTTTACAACAATGAAAAAATAATCGGTGATGCAATACAATCTAAAATAAAAGAAGGTATTGTAAAACGTGAGGACCTCTTCATTGTGAGCAAACTCTGGAACACTTTACATCGGCCGCCATTAGTCGAACGGGCTCTAAAAGAAACACTTAAAAACCTACAATTGGATTACGTCGATCTTTATTTGATGCATTGGCCTCAAGGGTTTAAAGTGATAATATTTGGAGAAATTAAGTTGGTATTGATTGGGGTATTTCAGGAAGGGAGTGAATTCGTTCCGGTTGATCCAAAAACCAGCTTAGTTATTCCCAGTGACGTTGATTATGTCGACACCTGGAAGGCTATGGAAGAGTTGCAAAGAAAAGGGCTGACGAGGTCGTTGGGAGTGTCGAATTTCAATAGCAAACAAATTGAGAGGCTTTTAAAGGTGGCCTCAATTGTGCCAGTGACAAATCAGGTAACAAACAAGAAGTGGAAAGTTTTTCTGAAGCTAGATTTTTTGTTTTCTCAAATTTATTTCAGGTAGAATGTCACCCTTATTTAAATCAAGCAAAATTGCGTAGATTTTGCTTAGATAGAGGCATCATTTTAACGTCTTACTGCCCATTAGGGTCCAGAGATAGACCATGGAAGAAACCGGGAGATCTTGACATTTTCAGTGATCCTAAATTTGCACAAATTGGCAACAAGTACAGAAAGTCTGCTGCTCAAATAATGATCAGATATAATGTACAATTGGGCAACATTGTCATACCAAAATCTTCAAATAAAAACAGAATTAGTGAAAATATCAACGTTTTTGATTTTGAATTGAGTAAACAAGACATGGAATATATGAACAGTTTTGATTGTAATGGAAGAATTTGTCGATACCTTGAGTACATTTTCTTACAAAAAGTTTTTCAAAAAATATTTTTATTTTTATTTTCAGGTGCGTGGAACATCCACTTTATCCTTTTAAGCCGGAAGTGGAGTTTTAAAAAATTATGTTTCTGTACCAATGATATAATTATAATGAAATAAAAACCAACATCTTTTATTCACATTTTTATAAAGACCTGGTAAATGCAAAGCAAATCCTACAGACGTTTACTACCCACTTTGTTCAAATGAAAAATAATGAGCGATATTCAAAGCTACAAACAAGAAAAAATAAACTTGTGTAAAATATTATCTTTTGTTAAATCCTCAAAAATTCGTATTTCGTGCGTGTAACAATTAAGTTAACACACGGAAATTGAAAGAAAAGTAAATAGAAAAAAGCTCTCGCTAAATCTGTTGAAGCTTTACAGTTGTATAGCAAGTAAGCAGATCGAGGAGCTTTTAAGGCAAGTTACAATCGTTGCTATTACGTCTTGAGTGAAAGAAGCACTCTAAAAATAAGTCACTAAAATAATGATAACTGTTTTCAGATCAAAAGCTTGTCTCGATTGCACAGATGCTTTCATAAAAAAGCAATCAGGAAATATTTCAATGTAAGAATTTTTTTATATCTCCTTGTAAGAGGTAAGAGCTTGTTTTTTGATATGTATGAAGAGAAGTATGTATTTAAATATTTTGTTGCTATTACTGCGGTATATTAGACTTGCAGTTTAAATAAAATATAAATTAAATAACCTGCCGGCGTTTTTTAATAACGTTAAGAAAATAAAAATTTAGGTTAGCTGTTTCATTTTTGAGATTGTTGAACGCAAATGATGTGTACCTAATAGTAATTAATATTAATTATATACTAAGGGAGAGAAAACAATTTTAATAGCCATGCTGTATTATAATGAAAGCAAGACAATATTTTTTTTTTTTAGTTTTTTATATTATTTCTTTACTATAACACATTTGTTTAACATTTCTTCAATGATAATGTAAAATAAATTTCTTTAACTATACAGTATGTTCCCGGATTGAGTTTACAAGAGGAAAAAAAATTGTAATCTTTGATGTTACTCTAAAACTGCAAAAGAAAAACATTTTTTGCTTAATGTAAAACGAGCAATTTAAAAACCAAAGTAGGTAGTCTTTTCAACTCATTTTATTTTGTTTTGAATATTGCCAATTTTTGTTTGTTACACAGAAACGTTCAATAACACAAGGCGACAAAAAAAAGTCATGTCGTGACAACTTGACAAATTTTATATCATTTTGTTTGTCTCAGTGAGACAAATCAAATGCACTAAAAAAAGTTTTAAAAAGTCCACACACATTGAACTGAATATTTTTTTTCTAATTTAAATGAATTTAAAATACTTTAACTTTAAAAAATCATTACTCAATAACTATTAGGCCGATTTCCTTCAAATGAAGATCATTCTAAAGGGACGGACTTGCCCTTTAGACTGATGTGCAATCTGAAATTGAATATTGGCACACTTTTCTTCGAACAGTGTTCGAAGAAGTTCGAAGTAAAACGAAGTAATCTAAGAAAAACCCGACGAGTAATTTTTTTATTAGTAAGAATCCAAATTTTTAAAATAATATACCGAGTAGTTTTTAAGATATGATTTTTTGAAGTTAAGGTTTGCTATTCAGGTATTGCACCATATAGGAGAAATGCATGTTAATCTTACTTAAAATTGCATTTTTATAAAAGTATTTGTTTTAAGGCTCTTTTTTGTTCTAATTAGAATAAACAAAAACTGTTTCTTTACTTAAAACAAACATAGAGTACCTGCGTACTAATTAAAGCAAATAAAGAGTTTTTTGTTTTAAAAATGATCACTGATCATTGAGCAAAAAGGATCTGGAAGTTTAAAGCAATAGCTTTAAATATAAGAACAAATCTTTTTCAAAATAAATAACTTTTCATTCAGATTCCAACTTGTTCACTTTGGTCTAGCTTTATGAACTTTTTTTTTTGAAAATGTTTTCAGCAAATGCTTCTTCATCACTTTCTACTGATGCTGAATGCAATAAATCAGTTGCTTCGTGTGCAACTGTTATCACCACAACTACTACCTACAAGCTAACTGAAGCTAATCGTAGAATGTACCAACAAAATAAATCAGGTGACTTATTGCACTTAACATCACTCGAAAGTGATGAGAAAGCATTTGCTCAGAACATTTTCAAAAAAAGTTCAGAAAGCTAGAACAGAGTGTACAAGTCGAAACCTGAATGGAAAGTGATTTGATTTGAAAAAGATTTGCCCTTATATTTAAGGCTCGTGCCTTAAACTTCTAAATCCTCTTTGCTCAATAATAATCAGTGATCATTTTTAGAACAAAAAAACGTTTTATTTGCTTTAATTAGTACGCAGGTACTCTTTGTTTGTTTTAAGTAAAAAACCAGTTTTTGTTTATTCTAATTAGAACAAAGAAGGTGCAAAGAATTGACCATTTTTAAGTAAAAGAAGAGTCTTAAAACAAATACATTTATAAAAATGCAATTTTAAGTAAGTTTAACATGCATTTCTCCTATATGGAGCAATGCTTGATTAGCAAACCTTAACTTCAAAAAAAAATCATATCTTGAAAACTACTCGGTATATTTTATTGAAAATTTGGATTACAAATAATAAAGAGATGCTCTACACGATGGTAATGATGAAAAAAAATACTCGAGAGAGAGTTTTTCTTAGATTATTTTGATTACTTCGAACTTCTTCGAACACTGGCAAGGCCATCCTTTTAGAATGGTCTTTATTTGAAGAAAATGGGCCTAATAGCTATTGAGTAATGATTTTTTAAAGTTAAAGTATTTTAAATTCATTTAAATTAGAAAATAGTATTTATTATACAAGAAGATAAAATTGAATGTATCTTTGAGAGCAATTTAGCATCGAGGCGTCAACCTCAACAAACATGAAGAAAAGAGTAGATAAAATTCTATTTTAACATAGAGGATTGAATAAAATTAATTTCTCAACTATCAAACACAATATATTTATAATAATGTCTTCTGAAACTAGTAGTAAAGAATAAAAACTTATGAAATCCTAGGATTTTTCCAGCTGGCAGATGAATTTCTACTTTAATAATACGGATTAATACGTCTTGACTAGAAGCCTGAAATTTATTTTTCTTTGATTGTTTACAAAAATAGCTTTAATTTGTTTTTTTTAATTTGAGTGATATTTTAATTTGGAACCAAAAAATCATAAAATTGTTTTCGGTTGGGTAAACTCTAATTTTTTGCCTCCATTTGTGTTGATCTATCTTTTACAATATTTATTTTGTATCATTTTCCCCTTCTCGGACAAACAGTGAAAGGGAAGCAATACACCCTTTGTATAATAATAAACCTTACTGATAGGTAAGTAAAAAGAAAAAAACATTTTATGAATAAGCTTGAGACAGGTTTTTTGTGTTGACACAGAAAGTTAATTATTTGCAATTAAACTTTGATGAAAATGTTAAGAGATTAAATGAAATTTGAGGAGTAATAAATTATGTTTAGGTGCGAAAAATTTAATCAACTTTTTTCTTAAATTCTTTGTTAAAAAAAAGCCTAGGCCAAATGCTGTTGGCGTAATGTCGAAGACCACATATATTCCAGCTGATGCATAGCTGGCGTTTTTAAAACCATTTATTTTCTCATAAAGTATCATGAAAATATAAAAGTCTAAAGAGCTGAGAAAGATGTAGCAATAAAAGTTGGTGTGGTTCCAACGCCGGAGCTGTATTGTAGAATGAATGTGTCATAACTCGTTGCCATCAGCGGTTGTAATGCTTGTGCAACGGATTGTTATTTACTTCTCCTGAGACAACACTCGACTCGAGAGCATCAGCCTCAGCGAGCGGCAATTTCGACCAGACATCCCCTTTTCCTATACACACACCCTCTTGTGTTTTTCGGAAAAAACGAACATGAAGTGGGCGGCGAGATTTGCGGTTGTTGTCAGCGCTTTGATCGAAGAAGTGGCATCGTTTCTACTCTTCGTACTTATGCGATTTCTAAAATTAAAATTTTCTGTTAGAAGCGACGCTTTGTAAAATTAGCGACAATGCATCAAAGTGATGACGGCTATTATTATTTTTTCTTGTTTAGTCTACGTCTACATAAATGTTTTCGAGGATTGCAGAGATGAATTATTATTCTTGGCGGAGAGGCAGATTCTCGAGCATTTGCTAACTTGTAATTGTCGAGCACTTTTCACTTTTTACGCTCCAAGAATCTGCTTAATTGCAGTGTAAGTGGTTTTAATTAAGATAATTGTTCTGCCATGTAGGTGCTTTAGTAAAAAAATCTCACTTTGATTTGATTCTTTTGAGTTTATTTTGAACGCTCGCCATCAGCCCGAATGAGTATTTTCCACACAGAATAAAATTCATTAAAGTATGTCCAAGCTTACCTGAAAATGTTTGAATAGTCATTTTTGATTGCAATCAGAGAAAACTATATAGCTCTAAAATAACTAAAATAAAAGTTTCTTAAGACAACAAGCATTTGTTCAGTTCAGTTTAGTTTTAGAAATTTGAAATGCGAGTAAAAACACACCACATATTGATTTCTTTATGGAAACTTCTCTGTTCTTGCTTTTAAGGCAATAACTGTTTCGACAAACGTAAAATAATTGCGAAAATCTATCAAAAATTATTAAACTATAAAGGTTCAAAATTATGATGTTTTATGCATGCATATCATACGTAATATATTTAAATTTATTAAAATTCAGTCAACACGTCGTGTATATTATTTAAAAGGATATTCCGCTCTAATAGAACTCACCAAACATTTATAATGTTTCTGCTAAAAATATTCATCAAAAAAGCTTTTTCAAGTTGATTTCGGATTGTAAATCCGAACAATTCAGAATAATTTTAAATGCAAATGTTTTTGCTTGTGACGTTTACTAAATACGGAAACAGTACAAAAAATTAGTAACTTTGTGCCAAACATTTAAAAATTCAAAGAAGCCTACATAGCCTATACATTTTAAAACTGCCATATAATCCGACTTCTACTGTTCTGTAGAAGTTCGGATGAAAATCCAAGAGTTAGCTTCATATGGAAGGAAATTTGTAGTCTAGAATAAAGCGGTCGTCATTTAGTTCTTAATAGACGGTGGCGAGATTGGCAAAGTTGTCCTTAGGCGTCTCTGTC